GCAGCATACAGGGGACTCTGTATGCTGCACACCAGCTGCAGAGGACCATTGTCCTTGATTTAGGATAATGTGGCCTGTTACCCAGTTCTGTGGGGAAACAGTCAAGTAATGAATTTTATATAGAAGGGAGCATTATTCTTTGCAATATAAGAGGTTGATCACCAGGGAATGGCAGGGAAAGGGTTTTTTTTCTTTTTTTCTGTCTAGATACTGACTCTCCTCCTACCCCCTTGAGTATAGGAAAGAATTGAGTATAGCAGTTGGAGATCAATGTTTTATTCATTTATTTATTCAATGTATATTTGAGAGCCTACTATGTGCCAGACATTCAAAACTTGCTGGTTGGTTAAGCTTGGCAGAACAGTGCCTTTCATTCCCTGGGCCTTTGATAATTGCCCGGGAGCAAGACTAGCACCTACTTCCAGAGTAATCAGAAAGGATCCAGAGGCCAACCTGACCTTATTACCTCATGGTTTAACATAAGATTTGGTCCTTTTTTTTTTTTTTTTTAAAGATAGAGTCTCACTCTATTATCCTAGGTAGAGTACCATGATATCATAGCTCACAACAACCTCAAATTCCTGGGTTTGAGTGATTCTCTTGCCTCAGCCTCCTGAGTAGCTGGGACTAGAGATGCCCACCACAATGCCAGGCTGGTTTTTCTATTTTTAGAGACAGGGTTTTGCTTTTGCTCAAGCTGGTCTCAAACTCCTGAGCTCAGGTGATCCACTTGCCTTGGCCTCCCAGAGTGCTAGGATTAGAGGCATGACCATACTCGGCCTTGGTACCATTTTAGATATTAGCCATGCATTAATTTGGGCTGCTTGCTCTGGGGGATTTCAAGACCAGACTCTGCATACACAGCTGTTTTTGTTCACCACTCTGGGAGTGCTAGCTGCTAGGAGATAAGTCATTGGGCCTGTGTTTCATAGTATCATTCATTGTATACTGGGCAAGGCAGTAAGGAGATGGTGGTGCATATTGACTGGGTATAAAGGCTTTGGGGACTTTATTATAGTAAAGTTACTGTGTTCCTGCAAGGGGTGAGGTTGGAGGGTCACAGATTTTAGTTAGCTTAGATATACCTGGGATTGACAACCTCCCTACCCCCAACCATTTAACAGAATAGTCCTGATTTTTCTCTCTACTGTATTAGGAAAACTACCACCTAGGGACATTCAAGGTCACAGCATACTTCCAAAACCTAGAGAAAGCACTGGAAACGATTGCCATATCTTAACCATTTATTTGGAAAAGTGCTAAAACTCTGACTTGTTGCTTTGGAGTGAGAAGCGAGAATACAGGAGTGAGGCCTGATCTCTGTCCTTTTCCACCTAGTACTTGTTGCTTTTCTTTCAGCATTAGAATTTGATCTGTTCTGTGCCTTTATCTTCAGATGTATCATACTTTTCCTAGTTTGGGAAACTATCGAATAGTCTGGCCATGGGCTGGAGTAGGAAAGGTTTAGTTTTAGACAGTCAAGAGTAGGGTCTTGGGGTCTCTTTCTCACTTCCCCGTCTCGCTCCCCCC